AAATTTAATTTATAAGCAACAAGGGATTAAATAAATTTTAATAATTATTTCCGATGCCTTATTAGGTTTATTTTCATATCGTCAATTAAATAGCAAAATAAAAATTTTCTATATCCAAATGAGATATGATATGTGGGTTCATGTAATGAGAGAACTATATTCATAAGAAATACATTCATAAGGTTTGAGAAAAATAACATTTCATGTTAAAACTCATAAGTGTATTATACGAGTAGTACTGTATTTCTAAAATTTTGAAAGCAGAGACTGTGTTAAAGTGTTCAATGGAGTGTATGTCTTTTATTGCGAGTTACATAATTTAACATATTAGTGAGCACACTTAGGAGCACACTTTTGGTAAATTTAACTGCTGTCTTTCTCGAATTAATTCTTTGTAGAATTAGTGTGTAATACGAATTCGATTCATGTGTTTTTATGTCATGCTGTCGCGCAAACTTGTCAAATGTTGATTTTTAATGGAAATTTGTCATCCCAGAGAAGAAATTGTAATATTTGTATTTAAGATTCTGATGTTTCTATATTACAAAAGGAATAGCAGTTCGTTTTAATACAATTGTAAAAATAATTTGTCCTCATACTTACTTATTTACATATATTTTTATAACACAACGCCTAAAATAGTTTTTTAATTTTAAAAATTTGGTAGTTTAATTATTAACATTACATTTTTCTGTGTCTAATCATTTTCAATCACGTACATATATTTTAAGTACTTAATTACAATAATGTTATTGTTTACGATTTCATTATTTTAAAATTCCCCTTCAATCTTTCCGACTTTTTGAAATCATCTGATCTAATATCTAATATCAATATGAAGTCACGTCACATCTATTTTGTTTTTTGTTTTTTTTTTTTTTAGTGAAACAAATGTGTTTTATTTTGCAAATATTTTTTATTTTTTTTTGTTTTTTTAACAACAAAATTTTATCTTGTCAAATCAATCGACACGTTAACATATTGGTAAAATGTTAAAAAGCAGTTGTATAAATAATGAATCTCTTATAGAAGAGACAATGTAGATTTTTTTTGTAGAATAAAAGTTTCTTGTTTTTCATTGAACTTTACTTAAATATACATTTTTGACTAAATTAATATATGTATGTACGTATATAGAAATATTATATTCTTAAGTCATCATCAAGATCAAATATTATTTTTACTTGCACATAATTTAGTATTGTGTTGGTCTACTTATAAACAGATGTCGTATGATATTGCAGTGACGTTTCTACATATAAACAGATGTATGTTGTATGACATTGCAGTGGCGTTTTTCATTTTTTGAGTGCATATACGTGTATTAATTTATTTGATATACATATGTACATACTTTTCTAGCGTTTTTATTTTTTATAACAATAAATTAAAATTCGAAAGATGCTTTTATAAAGTTGATAATTACTTACAAAAACCAATAGTATGTTTGTTATACCAGGACGGCTTTCTCACAATACTGTTCAATTATGAAGAAAATACAGTTATTCAACGTACTTTTGACAAGTGAGACTTCATGCTATCACAAATCTTTTTTTATAACAGCCTCTTTTATTTAATGAAATGCAATGGGTAAAAGTATTGACAAACTAAAATACCCGTTCTAATATGCCGATTTATAAAGTATGTTTGATCACCACCCCTTCCTGTGCTAATGAATATTAAAATAATTTTTATAAAATATCTCTTTTAACAAATCTAAATATTATATTTTGTTATAAAAATTGAACGTAAATTATGTGTGTGGAAATTTTCTTGTTAATTTTTTAAAAAAAAATATAAAATTAATTTTAATTTTTTAATTTGCTTCTTTTTATGATTGTTTTTATTTTTAAAAATTTATTTAATTAACATAAAATTTTTATTTTCTCGTCTGTATAATTTCTGAAAATCGCTAAAGCAAATTTTTTTTTAATATAAATAGATAATGGTCTTTATTCAGTAAATCACCTTAAGTTACAATAATTTTCATTCAAAATTTTATCTAAAGCAAAATTATAAATAATAATAAAAATTCGTAACAAAAAAAAAAAAACTTAAATCAAATAACAAAATTTGTCACATTTAACAAAGTGGAAACAAAACAATCGTTTGTTAGATAACATCTAAAATTATTTACGTTAGCGATAATAACAGCTGCGGAATTAGATACTTATTAGCGATGTAAGAGTGTTCAAACTTATAATTTTGCGTCGAACCTTAAGTAATATAATATGTGATGTTTATTTATTTTTTAATTTATTTCATTTATAATTATTAAATTATAATATTATTATCGATTGAATCATTGATTATCTATTACTTATCAGATATAAGTATATAATTTTCGTTTCAAATTCCATTGATAAATTCTTATGTCAGATATGATTGTTTACTAGTATTAAACTTAGTATTTTAATAAAAATTATTACTTGTTGTATGTGCTACGACAAAACTGTTGTCGTTTTACTTTAGTTGTGTTTATGAATAATTTTTTAATATAAGGAATTCAGGTACAATATATTTATTGATTTTGAAAAATTGGCTTTTAAAAATGATACTCAAACAAACAACTGATTACAGAACTCTACATTTAGTAAAATATTTTCTTATTTTATAGCTAACAGGTATTGCAATATTGCTCAAAACAGTATGAATAAATTTTGAAAGTCGCTTTACAAATGCATTCAAACATGTTTTTGAAGCAAATTGTAGGCGAGCAAAAGATTTTCGATTGTAACACATACTTACTAAAGTTAAAATAAAAAATAAAAAAAGTTGAAAAAATTCTTTCAAGTTGGACTTCGAGATTTTGTTAATTGATTTTAATTTTTTTTTTTATTATAATTTTCAATTACTTTTATTATCAATTATTTTAAAAGGCAAATTAACAAACAGTGTCACTACTACAAAAATATATTTTGTAATTTTGCAACAATATGTTATTGATTAAAAGTGTTTTTGTGTATGTATACGTTGTTAAAAAATTTATTTGAGTATTGTAACTAAGCTTTGATAAAATTATTTTCTCCAATAGCTCGAAATCTCAAATTTAATTAATTTAATAAATATATAGATTAATTCATATTTGATAGATAGATATTAATTTTGTTAAATATTAACTGATATTGAAATATTATTTTGTAATAAATAAAAAAAGATTATTTTTGTACATTTTAATTTCGCTTTTAATTAAGAAAAAAAATGTTAACAGAAATTGCAGTATAAAATAAAAATTAGATAAAAATTAGTTAGAATATTAGATAATATTCAAACATAACAAATACAATATTATACTAAAATTATATTTCAAAGATAATTATAATTAAATATTAATAATTTAATTATATTTTTATGTAATATAGATTACAATGTTGTATCTTGTCAGGGTAAAAGTTCATTTTATACTCGTATAAGTAATTTTGCAAAGCTTTTCAGGAGAGTGCTTTTTCTTAGTACAGGAGTATAGTCTTATAGTACAATATGTAGTATAAACCTATTGCATTTTTGTGAAAATTTTGAAGACAAGCCAATTTACGATAAAATCGAATCCAAGACATTTGCAATTGTCTTAGACTAACTCTTTTATTTTATATTACTATTAATTTTATGATAAATATAGGACAACAAGAATACAACAATTCAAACAGTAAATAGAGAAAACTATATTTAGCAAGAGTTAGGTCTGTCAGCCTATCTTCCTTTATGAGTACTCGCGTGTCTTCAGTTTAACCGATTATGATTAAATTTTATACATTTGCTGAACCCATTTAGCGTATTTAAATTTTTTAATTTAGCATATAATATAAAAAGAATAAATAGAATAAATAAGTAAATTATTATATGTATGTATATGACTTTAGTGATTAAATTAAATTATTGACAAAAAAAAAAATAACTTCTGTACTTTTGCCCTGACACCACAAAAATATCATCAATATTATTTATTTTATGTACATACACCCATATATTACGTTATAATTTAATAATCATCTTAAAATTAGTACTTATACGAGCACATACATATGTGGCATACAAATCAAGCAATATGTTAATAACCCGTTTAAGTTAAAGGCTTAAGTATGAGTTGATTTGTTTTGTTTTAAAGTCAATAATGATAAGATATGAAAATGCTTACAATTTTTTTTTTGTTTCATGAATAAATAAATCTAATAAAATATAAAATGTGATTTAGTATATTTTTTATTTTAAAAATATTATATATTATTGATAATATATAGATTTATTTGTGAAGTACCTTTTTTTGTACTAAAATCTTTTGCTAAAAATAAAAAAAATTATTATATCTTGAAATTAGTATAAATTTATAATGGAATATACTTATAGAAACTCTTGTGGTTCCCCGTGTGTTGATCAATTAATTTGTATATTTTCTAAAAATATAATGAGATTAAAAAAAAACTCACTATCTTTTAGGTACAGTAAGTACAAATCTACAAATCTAGGTACAGTAATCTAGGTAATTCAATATTGTTCGTATGAACCTAGAAAAGAGATTGTTTGATTGGAATATTTAAAATAAAGTCTCCTATAATAGTATTTTAAATGGGAACCGGAGATCCCCACCAGGAACAAATAAAACAAAAAGAATAGAACGTGTTATACTCATTATGTGATTTTAAATTTCGGTTTCTTTTATATTATTCTATATGGTAAAGAGCAGTGTGATGTTAAGTATATTTTTACAGTTATGATATTAATAGTTCCGTAAAAAGCCACTATATCGTGCGCCATATAAAACGATAGGGTTTCAATATTTTCTTTATTGCTAATCTTACTTAACGTTAAAACCTAGTATTTTAAATCTGTGTCACTTAACATCATATTTTTTTGTTCTTAAATTATTTTATATTGTTATTAATCTTAATAGTATTTTGATTGAATTACATTAATAATTTATTGATAATGGAAACTATTATTTTTTCTTTATAATTAATAAATTTTATAAAAATTTCTTTATTTCTTTTTTTTTTTTCTTTTAGAACACAAATTAGTGATGGTCGGCTTAGATAATGCTGGAAAAACAACAATTTTATATCAATTTTTAATGAATGAAGTTGTACATACTAGTCCAACAATTGGATCTAATGTTGAAGAAGTAGTTTGGCGAAATATACATTTTTTAGTATGGGATTTAGGTGGACAACAAAGTTTAAGAGCAGCATGGAGCACATATTATACAAATACAGAAGTATGTAAAATAATAATGAAAATAATTTAACAAATTAAAATTTAAATATTTATTTGTTCTTGTGGACAAAGAAAATTACTAATATATTTTATTTAACTCAAATTTGTTTACTTTTACAATTTCAAATATTTTTATTTGGAAATTAATTGGTGTACACACACCTGATATTTTTGTCAATCATTGATGATTGATTTCAAAACGAAGTTTAACTAAACTCTTTACCTACATTTAATTGATGGCTTGGCGTTTTTTGTGATAGTCATTGATGATGGCATTTCAAAGCTTCAATCTCAAGTGCACCATAAATGACTTAGTTGTGTTTATATATGATACTCACTCGGTCTCTTCCTGCTTGATTGGGTGCACAATCAGATCCTTATATTGTTTTTCGAATAACGTTCGGTAATGTTTAGATATATGTGATTAATCAATGCGAAGCAACGGAACACATATTGTTGTGTTATTCATAAAAAAAAATATAAATTTTAATTTTTTTTTTTTTTTTTTACTTTTTTTTCACTCTCGTTCCACTTTTTTTTTTATACATAACGTATTATTTTATATTGGTTTTCTGTTATTTATTTTGCCTATGCCGTAAAAAATAATTTAGAAATATTTTAAAAATAGAACAATTGATTGATTTTTTATTAAAATATTCTGAATTTTTTTGTTTTATATACTTACATACTTTATAACAAATTTGACAAAGTAACTAACGTGCTATCATTTATTAAATAAAAAATTTTATATGTGTTTGTGTATGCATGTTATTCATGTAAAAATTAATAAGAACCGTTATTATCCATTTGACATTTTATACTTATTTTGTAATTTATTTTTTCTTAAAGTAAAGTTTTTCTTTCTATTTGATATTTAAAATTTTGAATATTTAATTATCTTATTAAAAATTCAATAAGATTAAGGTTTAGTTTTGTTACTTATGAAATTAAAAAATTTAATTGGTCTTTCTTTTTTATGTTTTCAATATTCTATTGATTTAATTATTGCTTGGGTTTTTTTTTTGACAGCACGGCTAGGTTTTGGTTTCGTGAAAAAAATTCTACAAGATCTTCCAGAATTCTTGTACAATTGTTTTACTGTTGTAAGATCGTTGCTTCTGAAATTCAATACAAAACTATAGAACAGAGTGCCCCTTTTCCGAGTTTCTATTTAGTGTCTGCTATTCTTTACATGATTGCTAGACGATTCTTTATACGATTAATAAGACTTTTTTATCTCAACCAAATTATATTAAGTTTTTTTTCATTTATTAAGACAGCTTATTACTTATTTCCTTTTATAAAATTTTTAATTCATAATTATTATTTTCTTTTTCTATTTTTAGTTTATTATAATGGTAATTGATTCAACAGATCGAGAACGACTAGCTGTTACAAGAGAAGAATTATATAGGATGCTGCAGCATGAAGACTTATGTAAAGCTAGCTTACTAGTATATGCAAATAAACAAGTAAGAATATATTTAATTAATTGAAATATTTGTTTTTTTGTTTAAATTTCCCCAACGATCTATTGAAAAATGACCTATTCAAAATTATTTTCTATATTAAAGATTATTTTTATTTTTTGTTTTCATTTTCTTTAGGACTTAAAAGGGGCTATGTCAGCTGCAGAAATATCAAGACAATTGGATTTAACTTCAATAAAGAAACATCAATGGCACATACAAGGATGTTGTGCACTAACAGGAGAAGGGTGAGTTTTTGTTTTTTATTATTTATTTTAAAAACATATTTAAGATAATGAAATTAATCTTTAATATTTTAGGTTATATCAAGGTCTGGAATGGATTGTACAGCGTATTAAAAAGAAATGACACGTAGATGATGATCTTACAAAAACTGATATGTAGTTAATTATTTTTTCTCCAATTTTTTATTAGAAAACTTAAAAAAAAATTAAAAAAAAAAAAATTAAAATGAAATATAAAGTAAACTCAGTAAAAAAAAATTAAATTATAATTTATGTAAATTTAATAACAACTAAATTTAAATTTAAAAATGAGATGAAAATGTAAAATATAATTAAATTCAAATTATTAAATTCATAAAAGAAAAAACACACACACAAATAATATGATAAATACTTTTTGTGTATAATATGAAATTAGTTTAAGTTTTCAACAAAATAAAAACTTTAGAAAGTCAAACAGACTGGATTTTAGTAATTAATCTTTAAGTATAAACTAAATTTAAAAGTAAATATTTAAAAAATTTGTTTTATTGAATTTTTATTGAATCACAGAGAGTTGTTTAAAAAAATTATATTAAAAAAAAAAAAAGGAAATTGGCATATGTTAAAAATTGAATTTCATTAGAAAAATTTCAATCATTTTGAGGTATTCTAAAAATTTATACTTTTTTTTTGAATATATTTTAAATTTGTCAAATTGTTAACCATGAGTTTCAGAATGTAGTAAATTCATATTTTGATCGATTTTAGAATAAATATAATATTAATTTCAAGAATTTTTTTTATTATTAATTTATGAACTGTTCTAAAACTGTTCTAAAACAAGTTTTTTTTTTCTTAAATTTATTTGATTTAATTTAATTCAAATTTAGAAATGATTATAAATTCAACTAGAATGTAATTGCATTTTGAAGCTCAAACTAATTTCTAATTCATAGCATAATTTTGTTATAGAATTTCTTAAGTTCAATGTATGTGTTCATAATATTATTGTTATTCTGAAATTATTTTAATAATCTTTTATTAATATTTTTGTACGAATGTAGATGATAAATAAAATATTTTTTAAGATACACAAATCAATAATTATATTTTTTAAAAATACTTTTTTTTAATAGCACATCAGTAGTTTATATTTTAGAATACCTCCACTTTCTTTTATCCGATACAATTATTTATTAATAATTAATGTATTTAAAAGACATTATTTAATTTTCTTTTGTAATTTATGAAATTATATTATTTTAAGTTTTGCATCATTTAATTTTGTTTTTTTTTTTTTTACTTTAAAATTGAGATTAAATTGTGTTAAAATCCACAATTAACAAAAATTATCAACGTATAGTTTTAAAATAAATATTAAAATGAGGACTATTAAAAAAGAAGAAAAAAAAAAGAAATATTATTTAGAATTCTTGATCATATTGATCATTGTTCTATAATAGTAAAGAGAAAGAAAATATTCATTCATTAAAACAACATAACAATATTGAAATAAAATTTATAAAAAATAATACATTATTAATTTAATTTACAAAAATTTAATTATTGTTTTTTTTTGTTTTTTCGAATTTTTCTTTACGTTTTTCAAAATTTTAATATTTTATTTTATTATTAAGAACTTACCAAAAAAAAACATGAATATCAAAAAAATTTATTAACGCTAGGCTATAGTTAAATGACCTACCTTTGCATCAATCATTTTAAAAAAATTACCTACATATTTATTTGTTATTCTAGATATTTTAAATCCACAAAAACTGATTTTTTTTCATAAATTTTTAATCTAACAAATTAATTTTGTGATTAAGAAAACTTAAAAAGTTTTAAACTCTTGGCTTTAATACATCGAATAAAAGTAGGAAAAGCAAGTATAAAACATTCAAAAGAAAGATATATCTAAAAAATGTTGAAAAAAAAGGAAAGGTTGGAAATCGCTTTTCACGTGCTTTTGTTATTTTAAAATTTCGTATGATTATTTTAAATCTTAAATTATTGCCTTTCAAATAAAATATAAAAATAATTATATAAAAATATACAAAAATGAAAGATAATTAATAATTATCAATTAAATTGCAAGAAATCAAAAAATGATATTTGAAAAATATATGAAATTTTTATTTAATTTTTAGTATAATTTTTATGGCAAATGTTGTTGTAATATTGTAGCAACTAAAGTGTAGAATAATTATGTAATTCAAGCCCTACCTCAATATTAGTACCTGCAATTTCAAACAACTTCAATGATTTTTTTTCGGAATTTACACCAACTATTTTAATATTTAAATTAAATGAATTCAAAAATTTAAATATTCAACAATACAACACATTGTTTTATAACAATACAAACATATTGTAATCCGAATAATTTAAAAACTTAAATATTTTGTATTGCAATAAAATATTTTCTAAAATTGTTTAAGTTGGGTTTTTTTTGTGAATATTTACTCTTAACAAATTTTATAATTTATGAAATGTAAATTTAAAAACACAAGTATAATAATTTGCTGATGTTCTTATTGATTATATTTAAGATACAGTGATGCAAATTCATCATTTAATATAATATTAGATTATTTTAATTTTAAATTTAACTAAATGTTTAATTTATTTTGCATACACAATATTTTCGATTTTCTCATTTATTTATTTTTCATATCCTCTAATTGCTAAGTAAAATTGATAATTTTTTTTATAGTTGGTGGCAATTTTGTGTTCTATCAAATCTTAAAGTTCTTTGTGTTTTATATTAGAATTTCAATAATTTATTCGAAATAAAATTATAAACAAGTTGCAAATATTATTTTGAAAATTGCAACAAATAAATTTTTTGAGAAAAACCAAAAGCTATTTCAAATTTTGTCAAAATTATTTCAAATTTATAATTTTATAAAATATAAAATATTTCGAATAATTAGATAAAAATAATTTTAAATATTTATATTTTTTATCGGAAAATTTAACTTTGCAAAATGCTGTATATTGAATATTGTATCTTGGCCCTATTGTATAAATCACTGTGTAGTTTTTTCTAATCAAAAAACTAATGAACTTCTTATACATTCTATTAAGAATAAAGTATTTTATTAAAAAGTTAAAAAATAAAAGCAAAAGTAAAAGTAAAAGTGGTTGGTTCAATCTTGATCCGGCCCTTGTTAAATTGATTTAAATTAAAAATATTTTGTAAATTTAAAATTTTTTACTTAGAAACATTTTTAAATGTTAAGAATTTTTTTTTTAATATTAAAAAACAAGAAATTAATTAAAAATTAATTTTTTGAATTTATTCTTAAACAATTTTTTTTTTCTTTTTATATTAGAAAACTCTCTCTGTCTATCTATCTTCCACCTTTGATAACGTTTCATAGTATATTTATTAAATTTTTAAGTGCTAAAAAGATTTTTAAAAAATCTTTAAATTCAATTTTTAAAATTAGGAGCATCTTATAATAATGATTGGTTCTTTTATTTAACTCATGTATGGTATTGAACTATATATATGAAATATAGAATATATTTTTTTTTTTTGTAAATTAAATATATTAGAGAATTTTATTGTTTAAAAGTTTAAAGAAAAAATGAAAATGTATTAACACAATAAAAACGGAAAATAAAAACTAATTATTATTAAAAATAATTATTAATGCTTTAATTATTAATGTAAATATTTAAGAATTTTTATCGAAAACGTTTTAGGTAATAATAAACAATTTAAAAATAGAAATGTTTAGCTAGTTTTCTGCTAATTTGTTTATTTTTTTTTATATATAATTTTTTAAATTTAGGCCTGATTTCAAAAGAAAAAAAAACCAAAAAAAAAAAAACAAAAAAAAAGGAAGAAATTTTTATTTAATAAACTAAGAAAAATCACATTTACAGATCACATTAGAAAAAAAAAAAAACAATACCAATGCATTATGAAAATTAAAATTAATGAAAGTATTAAGAGTTAAAAGGAAAAAAGTATGTGTAAAAAAAAAGAATCAAAGGAAAAAATGTAAAATTTAAGAAAATTGAAACTATACGAAATTATTTAAAATAATATATTGTATATCTATGTATTTAATTGCCAAATAAGAGGAAAAATACATTTAAGAAAAGATTATGAAAACAAAAAAAAAAGCAAAAAAAAACAAATTAAAACAAATATATATATATACAAAACTAATGTGTGTTGCAAATTTTTTTTTAAATAAAAACTGAAAATAACAAATTCTGGAAACGGAACTGGATTTATTGATTTCTATGGAATTATTTAAAGACATAATCTAATGGAAATAAAATAGTATTCGGGAAAGGAGCAATTCTGGCCTAATATAAAGGGGATTTTCGAAAAATTCAGACATACACTTCAAGTTCTAAATTAAATCTTCGAAGTTTTTCATATATATCAGTCGAGTAATTCTTCAATATACGACAATTTTTTATTGGGCTCCTAATATTTTTAGCAAAGTTAAAACTTGAAAGTTTTTTTAGAACTTAAAGTAAAAATTACTGATTATTTTTCATATTAATTTGAAATTGCCGCTTTCATATGTATGTAGGTATGTGTCTACGTATTTAGCTAAATTAGCTTTTGATCCACTAACCCATCATGATTATATTTCAATACCATTTTACCATACAATATTAATACTTCAATTTCAGTTAAAAAAGATGAACAAGTAAAAGTTTTCGTAAAATATTTTTAAAGTCATTGAACCTATTGTATCTTCTGCTTAGTAAGTATGTACGTATATATGCACATACATATCTACATACGTTATGCGTCTAAAATTTATTCAATTTTGTTTATTGAAAATAGTACCCCTTAGCCCAGCGGTAGGGAACCGGAGGCTGCCTGTGGCCTTTTAGGTTCTCGTGCGTATTAATTTATTAAACAATGAATATAAAATATAATTTTATTAATTTTTATATGTATGTACAAACATATTTATGAATGTATGCATAACAAGATATTGACTTCAAAATTGAAAAAAATTTAATTTAGAATAAATAAAAATTGAATTTTCACAGCAATAACAACAAAAACTAAATTTTATGGTATTAAAACTTATAATATACAGGGCCTCCGAAGTTATTGTTATTTTAAAATTTGCTTTCGTGGGTAAAAATGTTCCCCACCTCTGCTTAAACTTTGCCTATTTTCGCTGTTCGCAAAAATTTTACTTCAAGTATATATGAACATAGGTATGTACATCTTTTTAAAATTTATAATAAAATACAATCTTCCAGGATATACATATATATACTGACAAACTATACCAAAAAAATATGTATGTAAATATTTATGTATATATCCAAAAAATGTTCATGTTAACTATTTGCATACATGTAAATTTAGCTCATAATCTATTTTGCACTTCTATTTCAAAATAATATAGGGTTTAATTTTTAATATCATCAAGAAAGTAATCAAAGAATTAATAAAAACGAAAAAAGTCATTTGACATATTTTAACGCAGCGTTAAGATCGTATTTATTATGTTTACGTCTCCGAATATTTAAAATAAATACGCCTTCGACGTATTTATTCTGTTTAAACCTTTACCGTTGAACAGTTTATGTCAATATACTGTAAACAAAGCGATTTACACGGTTGTACTTTTTTGTTGTTAAAAAATTGTACCAAACTTTTATACGTTTGTATAAATTGTACAAAACGTACTGATATATCATAATTATTGGAAACTCAACAAGGGAGTATTTTTAAGATTTGAACGAAGTGAGTGTATGTCAGAATAAAGTAAGTCTAAGTATTTCATGCAAGCTAACACCCTTTTGTATTATAATTATATTAAAAATTTGAGGAAAGTTTAATTGTAAGGGATAGTTTACTGAAATTTAGTATTATTCGCGTAGTATATTTTACATAGATTATATGGAAAGTCTATTGTGAATTTTAGGGATTAAGGCGAAAGCAGATAAAAACGGTATGTTGTCGCGAAATGTCAAAATATGTTTAGGAGGTTTAGTACGGTCACTTAGGTTTGTCTAAAATAAAGATTTTATTAAATTTTTTACTAAAATCAAGCACAGTAATTGCATAACAGCAAATTTTAAATTGTAAAAAAAATCAAATGCTTCTACTTAAATAAAATTCATTTGTAAACTCTTGTAATAAAGGATATTGGCGATATCTAAATTGTGATATAGTTTCAAAGAGCATTACTTTTGGATTCTCTTAACTTATTCTTTTGTCAATAAATTTTCAAAATAAAGAATAAAGGAAACCGGAAAATGGGGAGGAAGAATTAAATAATGGTAAAAGTAACATTATTTATATCATGAAACAACAACAGTACAATGTAAATACAGGGATAAACATTTTCGATCAATTTCCTAATACATATTTTTTCTACGCAACCTTTGTTAATTTGGTTTAGCCCGTTCAACCCTTCAGATGTGTTTTTTTTTATCAGAAATAAAGAATTTACTTGGGGTTGGATAGTTGAAATTTTCCAAATAAAATAACAAAAAAGGTATGGAAAATTATCAAAATTTTATGAAGAGCAAATTTTTAGTTCAAAAAACTTAAACTTGACAAAAAGTAAAAAACAACTAACATTCCGCAGTCGATCCAAGTTTTGGCAAGTGAAAAATTCTGACAATTTAGTCCTTTCAACTTGTCTTTAATATGCAATGGAAATCAATTTAAGATTCAAAGAAAAATTAAATTAAAATTAATTTGCAACAACACAATTCAAGGAAATTGATATTTTAATTGATATTATTGACTATTTAATTGAATACAATTACAAAGAAAATGATTCAATAAATTTTACAAAAATATCGATTAGTCGTAGAAACAAAAAAGGATAAAATTTTACACAATACGAATGTGAATTGTTGAAATAATAAAAACAACAGCTAACTGAATTTATTATGTTCTCAATGAATGGACTTTTTGTAGATAAGAATTGAATCTTTATTCATTACAAAGGAAAAATGTCTATCAATAGTGAACTATATTTACGTCCCCTACCTTATCTTGATAGTAAATGGTTAAGAGCTGATATAATTTCAAGTTTAAGAAATGTGGAAGACACCGCAATATTATGGAACAATTTGATTCAAGATTGCGAGCTTGTGTCATCTGCCGCGCCCGCAGTATTAAATAGTAATCAGAATTTGTCATATTTAGGTGACGATGGAAAGCACTACTGCGGTGCCCAAAAATTAAATTGCTTATGCTGTCCTGGTTATTGTGGTCCACTCTCAGGTTGCAATTGTTCATCATGCCGTTTGTTAGATTCAGACTCTGCAATCAAAAAAACTTTAAGCACCAACCAATCGTCTGGAAATGAAGTAAATTCTAATTTAATTTTAGAAAGTTGGCTATGGGGAAGTGTTCCCAGTAAAGAACATAAAAAGAATTGCATAAATGCACTGTTAATAGAACAACAAAATATAGCATTGCAGGCTTCTGGAAATTGTTTATCTTCTATTCATTTGCGGGAGCAATTATATGTTTATGAAAGGTATTTTATAGCACTTTCACGATCTAAAAAGCAAAAAAATGACTTAGTCAATATTAAACAACGTATTCAAAACGAAAATGAAAAGCAACAAAATATAATAAAGCAAAGTAATGTTCAAAACAATAAAGAAGTGTCGAAAATTCCAAAAGAATACGAAAAGGCGACTATTGGATTGGCAAGGGTTGGAACTAGGGCAGCTCTCAATTTTTCGTTTGCTTTTCTACGTAGGGCATGGAAATCAGGTGAAGACACAGAGCTATGCACCGAACTTTTGGGAGAAGCCTTGGAATCTCTGCAAGGTAATTTTTTGAATAAAAAATTTTCATTAAAGTATAAATAATTTTTCACTGAATGATGATTGATAAAAACATTTCTCATTTAGATTTACCAGAGGCTTCGTTATTTGATACAAGCCAAGTTTCTTCACTTTGGATAGAGGTTTTAGAACGTTCAATCAAATTTCTTCGGCAAGTAGTCTTGGGAGACATTATGGGTGGAAGATGTTCGGTCCCTTTAGATGATCGATATTTGGCTTTATGTTTATTACTTGAATTAGGAATACAAAAAGGCACTTTGAGTGCTTCACTAGAATCTATAGTGCTGTTATTAATTTTGTATGAAAAAGAAAAGGATACCGACGATAATCGAGACATTCCACAAGATACTGGTGCTCCTTTAGTTCCAATTTTAAGACGTTATGAACGTATATCTAATTTCAGTGTTCAAAGTTCTTCTGAAATGACATCAGCTAGCGCAACTGATTGCTTTCTACGCTTTCTTACTCTTCCAGAACAAATTAACAGTAATGTTGACTTGAAGCAAGCAGCTGTTATAGTTATTTCACATTTAGATAAAACATCCAAGCCCCATATGCCATCGTTAGGGGCCACATCTATTGAAGGTGGACCAACTATCATAAAAAAGCAAAACCTTCAAACAACATCAAATGACAGTCAAATCCACCCCGAACAAAAAGTTTTTGCTCTGGGGTGGTATTCTTTGAATCCGGAAAATTACGGATTTACAAACGAGTTGCCTGTAGGAATAACCGTTGAAAATCAAATAGATCCTAACATGTGTAGTAATTATTCAGCGTCAAATTTGAATTTGAAATTCAAAATCCATCAGGTTATCTTTTCTGAAGAGCAAGTACTCTTCTCATCAAAAGATGGCAAAGTTTACAGTTGGAGAATAAATAAACCAGAAACTGAACCTTCATTAATTAATGAACTAATTGACTATGAAATCATTCGTTTGGCTGGTCACTGTGAAGGGAAGCATTTTTTAGCTCTGGATTCGTCAGGTCAAGTTTTTAGTTGGGGTAACGGTGAAAGCGGCAGATTGGGTCACGGAGACACAAATTCAAAAGATTCACCAACAAAAATAACATTTTTTAATAATGAAAAAGAAATTGTGAACGTGTTTTGCGGATGTTCCTATAGTGCAGCATTAGCAGCAAATGGTGACCTTTACACTTGGGGTAGGGGAACTTACGGTAGACTAGGGCATGGTAATTCAGACGATAAGTTTACCCCCTGTTTAGTACAATCACTCCGAGGCCATGCTGTAGTTGACGTTGCCCTTGGAAGTGGTGATTCGCATTCTCTATGTGTGACGGATGACGGTTTTGTCTTTGTTTGGGGTGATGGTGATTTTGGAAAGTTAGGAAATGGGTCGTGTAATGGATCTCAGGTTCCAATTCGTCTGGAAAACTTGCCAAAAATTAGAAGAATTTATGCTGGTTCCCAATTCAGTGTCGCCCTTTCAAATGACGGAAAAATATTTAGTTGGGGAAAAAGCTTAGGGGGCAGGTTAGGACACGGTTCGTTAGGGAAAAGTATTCAAGGTATTTCAGAAATAATTAATACACCAAAACAAATACAAGCTTTAGAGGGTAAATATATTGTCGACGTCGCGGTTGGCGCCTCCCACTGCTTAGCTTTAACTAATAAAGGTGAACTATTTGGTTGGGGTAGAAATGATTATCAACAAATATGCCCCTCTTCAATATCAAAAGAACCAATTTTATCATCTCCGATTCTTTCAACTCATCCTTCAACTCAAGTATATGGAGTAGCATGTGGACAGAGTCAAAGCATTATATGGTGTCAAAATGCGATTATCGGAATTCCTACCAAAATTCCATTCATTATTGATTTGTCCGAGCACACATTTAGATTATTAGATCAACTTTTAGGTAAGATATATATTTTAACTTTTATTGTATTAAAAACTTTTTCATTTGTTAGGAATGGTGTGTGGGCATGAAGGAAGAATAGCACCTAGCCAAGAATCTGAGTGTATTGCAGTAGCATGCTTGAATCTATTGAGGTTACAAATGCATTCTTTAAAGGCCAATAATTATTCAGTGAAATTAGTGGGGCTCAATGAGGGTTCTAGGCTTTTAATAAGTTTAAAAACAAAAATATTAGCCCTGGCTGGAGGATCCGGTATATTGAAAACTATGCAAGAAGCAGCACAATGGACATTACAAATTGGTTGGAGCATACTCTTACCAACGGCTTCAGAACGTGCACAAACTTTGACATCTTTATTGCCAACGGAACCTGGTTTTTCTTCATCTGGACACCGTTTTATGACTGATTTGCTTGTAAGTTCTTTAATGGCTGAAGGAGGATTAGAAACGGCTCTTAATCAAACTATAAATTCGGATAATTCTGAATGTCCAAGCAATAGTCATACTTTACCTTTACTTCATTTGATAAAACAACTGCTTCGTAATAACACAGCTTTAACGCAGGCTCGTTTGTCGCAACTCTTATCAAATTCTAATTTTATAAAAAATGAAGATGATAATCTTACAACAGCACCAGAACAAACTTCACCTAGTCTTGACTTACTCCATAGATTTCAAAGGTTATTGCTTTCACATATACATCAGGCGAAAAATGAAGAGATTCACAATGCTGAAAATTTATTAGCTAAATACATTTTAAGTACAGTACATTTTTGTACACTTTCATTGCAAAAAGCTTACGAAGTCGTTCTTCAAGGAAAAGAAGGTGTCATTGACATTTTGAAGTCTGATATATCAGACACATTGTTTTGTGAGCTTCTTGTTGGACTAATCTTGATAAGTCGTGATAAACCGAACCTTCTAGCAAATTTGGAATGGACAAGCATTTTCATACCAATACTTCATGCTTTAGATAATCTGAATAGAATTATTTGTGATAGTGAAATACAAGATTCGGATGATATGGGTTGGCCGGGCATAATTTGTCGAGGCTCACAGAAATCTTCTTCAATAACGGAGGAAACTCCGCTATTACGTAAGACTGATTTGGAAAATCATAATGTTGATGGTGGAAAATGGTTAATAATATGTGGATATGTCTGTGATATACAGGATTTTAAGTAAGTATATTAATGACAATGGTTGTTCATATTTTTGTTATTCATGGTTATATTTAGACATGAAAATTCTGAGCTTAATCAAATTCTTGAAAAGGGAATTGGATATGATGTAACATCTGAATTGCTTTCAGCATCTAATCGTTCTATAGTAGAACATTTGGTTAGTACCCGAAAAATAGGAAAGTTTGCATATTCTACTGCAGAAGATAAAGTAAAAATTTTCTTGTTATATCTGTTTATATACTTGCTTATATACTTATTAAATTGCAGTGTCAGAAGCATCAAAATAAACCTCTAACACATTTTAATTCGGAAAGAACTTTAGCTTATTTATTAGGCTTGCGTGCTAATATCCTGCAATATAGTTTACCAATACAACCAGCAGAAACACAATGCAAGCACATGCTTAAATCTGCTATACTTAGTGGTGGTTTGCAAGTTCTTCAACCAACAAATCCTTTTGATGAAGAAAAAGGTGAAGCTAGAAGTAGTACATCTACAGCCGGAAGTACTCCAACAGAACCAATGAATCAAATTTCTCGAGGGGCATATGCTTCAGAACGTCAAACCCCAACATGGCCGTTTTTACAGCTTAAACAAAGAATTGAGTTATTTTTGAATGCTCTAAGCGAAGGTCGTTTAACAGATCCTTTAGTATGCGCTTGGATGTCAATTTGCGATCGATTTGGAAAGGAGAATAATTTGATTTGGCATCAAGAATTTGCGATTGAGCACCCGGTTCAAGAATTAGATAGGTTACTTACCGCAGTGCTGATTAGGCACCAGAGTTTAGGACCATTGATTTTAGCTGTCATAGATCGAGAATTAAGTGGTATTTCTGAACGACCCCCAAATAAAATTGCAGATATAATTAAATTAGTTTATCAGACAAAGTGGACTATTATTAGAACGAGGCAGCAATTAAATCGCAGTTATAAAGAAGTTTGTGCGCCAATGCTTGAAAGGTTAAGATTTTTGTTATATGAGGTACGACCTGCTATTAGTTTGGAACAAACTGGGTTGAAGAAATTGTGTATTTTACATAAAGAACCAAGATTTAAAGGTTTGTTTATTTTAATTTCATATTCTTTTATACAAATTTAGAGCTTCAATATTGCAGGTTTAGTAAGAAGAATCATAACGGAAATGAGAATAGCTAAAAAGCAATTAGCGTGTGCAAAACCGGAAGACATACTCAACGTTACCATACAGAGTCAAAATGCCGCACAAAAAAATTTATCACAAGAGAACCTTTGTTGTAAAAATTTATCATTAGATAATTTAAATTCAACTTTGGGTTCAAGTGTTGATAATCTGACATCTTTAAATTCTCCCGGACAAAGAAAGCACTTATCTAGTGAAAATTTGTTAAACGTTTCTGAAGGAGATTTGGATAATTTAATTATTAACAACGAAAAAAATTCAGTTAAATCTTCAAACGATTTTTCTAATTTCAATATTGACAAACAAAAGGAGACGGGACAATTCATAAATGACGTTATATTAAAGCTGAGTGAAAAATCTGAAGTCCATTGCCTTAACTCTGATCTCAACATGTCTTCAACTATAATGTCTCAAATTGTGGATTTTGTCTTACAGGATATAAGTGACGTTGAAACCCTGAGAAGAGCGATGTTCTGTCAAGTTCAGCGATATAAAATTCGTCGTCAAGGTCTGCAAATGTTTTATGAACTCTTACAAATTAGTGGATTGTTAGGAGCTGTTCAATACAATATGCTTAGTGGTTACTTAGGTTTACATTTAAAACGTTCAAAGTCAAATATCAAAAATGTTTTGGATGACCTTAATATGATAACAGCGTTTCAAAAGGCTAACTTAATATTGTCTGAATCTAAAATAATTCAGTGGTCTGTAAATGAGCTCCAAAAATTAGTTAATCAGGAGCATATAACGATAAAACAAAAATATCATGGAGGGAAGGATAATTCAAATTTGGGAACGTACGTGTTTTTAAAAAAATTGCCTAGAGCCAGATTTTTACTAAGCGTTTTTGGAATTCTTGCCAAAGATTTTGGACCGAATGAACTAAGTTTTCTGATCAATTCAGGGCTTCTAGGGACCGTATTGGGACTACTCCGACAAACGGGGGGTGATATAAATAATGTTAAAAGTAATAATGAGTTATCTGTGGTATATGAGGATACTATTTTAAAGGTAACTTGTCTCAAAATAAAAATATCGACTATTTCTTAATTGTCCTTTTTTTATCAAAATTAAATATAAAGCAAACTTCGAGTAAAATAAATTTAACTGGACCCGAGTTAGCAAAACTTATGAAAGTGGGTACTCGTGTTTGTAGAGGAGCTGATTGGAAATGGGGCGATCAGGATGGCAATCCTCCAGGGGAAGGTCGCATTATCAGCGAAGTTGGAGAAGATGGGTAAAAAATTTTGCAGTAATTTACTTTTAAAATATACATCTATATTAACATGATGGTCATACTATTTTTTCTTAGAAAATTATTCTTCAATTTTTGGTGAATTTTTTCCAATGAACGCAACCAATGTTTAACTTAATCAAAAGATCAAATCAAAAATACTTTTGATTTAAACATTTGGTTTAAGTTCAATTGAAATTCTTTTTTATTCCTTCCTTTACTCTCAAATTACAACTTATAAACATTTTGTATTTTGAAAAGTTGAAAACAAATTTTATAAAAATTTTAGATGGGTAAGAGTGGAATGGGATACTGGCGGTATGAACTCTTACAGAATGGGGAAAGAAAAAAAATATGATCTTCGATTGGCTGAAAGTGCTTCAAATATAATTTCGCCCGACACAGAAACCGAAAAAGATGATTTTCATCCGATTGATATTCAAACATCTGGTGAATCTCATCCAACAAAGCTTTTAAGATATGCTTCAACTAAAATTCTTCAGAGTTTAGCTGTTGGTTTAGCACAACATAGTGAAAATATGGAAAAAACGGCGGTGTTTGGCATAACATCTATGTTTCGAACATTGTTGACTTCCAAAACTAATTGCTTAGCTAATTTTTGTGGATTAAATAGCTGGACAACCTTGGGATTTTTGAGAGCAATTGCTGGAAATTCAAAAATTATGTCCAAGTACTTAACAGAACCAATATGGTTGGATTTATATATAAATATACTTGAACAACCAATTATTAATGAGGGAGATGTTTTCAAAAAAATTCATTGCTTGAGATTGTTGGAAACTATTTTAGTTAACTGGGCAGATGATGATGCTACTCGGTGTTCAGACTTAGTTAAACAGTTATTCATAATTTTAGGCAAAATATGTTTATATTGCCCCAACGATTTGTCATTAATTCAAAATCCACAAGATGTAAAATCCAGAGTTTTATTGACAGCATCTCACTCAAGTACGGTAGCAGAGGAAATTATCACTTTGATAAGAAAATTACACCCATTACCCCTATGGAATTCTATAATAAACTCATTTTTGTCTCAAAAATTATGTGTTGCAGCTGACTTATTCTCAGAAAGTGATACCGTTATAAGTAATTTAGACATGGAAAGAACGCAGGTAATTGGTGTTTTAAATTCTATAGGAGGATGTGACACAAGACCTCGTCTCGGATTGCAGTTAACTTATGAGGGTAATCGTGGTACAATTTCTGGGTTTACTCAAAAAGGAAAATGTATTATTAACTTTGAAAATGAAAATGCTATGTCATTGCATTTTGTGTCGGAAACAAAAAAAATTTCGTTACATGCCGCTAGCGAATTCGCAAACTACACAGTTTTCAGTTTATCTAAATTACCGTTAAATGAAATGCTTCTGAATTCGTGGGCGGTATTAGTTTACGGCTCTGGTGAACGCAAAGAATCAGTACCCGGTGCGGTCGATTTATCTCTTTTAAGATCTCAACAAATACAACTTTCTGTTTTAAATGCTAACTGTGTGTTATACAGAAATCAAAATTCTCTACGAAAAGTTTTGCGGCAAAGATCTCCCAAATTGTCAAGTTATTCTTCAGAAGAAAGTATTTCTGAACAAGAAAATCAAGAAGATAGCAGAAGAAATTCTAGTGAAAATATTCAGAAAAATAAAGTTTTACAAATTGATATTAACCCTAATTTGGGAGACTTAACTCAGCAAGAAGACTTGACGGTGTCAAACAGTGAACTTTTAATTCAAAGTATACTTAGCCGTGCAACTCAACCCTCTCCTGTGAAAGCAATTTATACCTATCAAGAATTAGCTACAGCCGCTTTAAATGTGTCGCAAATGCTCGCGAGCTATATGCATGCTGAAACTAGTGCTTCAATGTGTAATATTTTAAGAGCAGCACCACCACCAAGTCAACCAACGCTGATTCATGGTATACCAATTTATAATAATAATTATGGTGAGGAAGTTTTGCAACAATCAGTCGATAATGTTAATTTTCATGCACCCTCATGTAATATGAACCGTAATAATTCAGAAAAACCAAATTGCCCTTTAATTCATCAAATAATGGAAATGGGATTTTCGAAAAAATCTGTTGAGTTAGCTGTAAAAACTTTAAGTAAATTCTAACTTTATATTTATTTTTAATACATGTAGATTTAATTAAATTGGAATTTTAGCAATTCATCCTGATCTGCAGCCTACTCCCGAACAAATTATACAATGGATTTTAGAACATCCCGATCTTTGTCCTCCATTGCCATCTACTTCTGGAACACAAACTATTGATTCTATTACGGAAACCGAATCCGAGAAGAAAAAATGTAATAAGCCCAAAGAAACTAGAAAAGAAATAAAGCAATCAAGGTCTTTAAACCAAAATAGTTCTGATACAGAAAGCTCAAGTGACAGTAGTGATACTGTTGAAGGATCTTCAGTTCAAGATCAGTTATCTTCTAAACTAACAACTAAATATTCGACGAAGCAAGATTTTCAAACAGAAGATCAGTATGCTATGTATGTTCGTGAACTGATATGCCCCGGTATGTTAGTTAGATGCTGCAAGGACTTCGAAGAAATTAAACGTGGTGATATTGGAACTGTTCTAAAAGTCGACACAGAAGGTTTACATGACTTAAATGTTCAAGTAAGTTTATTTTTGGTTATTCAGTAAACTGTGTTCGATGTACGACGTTTAGTAAATTGTGTGTTAGTATTATACTTTTTTCAAAATAAGTTATTTATGGTTTTGTTTGTTACGTCTATTACAAACTGTATTTAAAAATTTATAAAAATAAGCTAAGTCAGATTTTACTAACTGTGGTTAATGGTTTTTTAGGTGGATTGGCAAGCTCATGGCAACTCATACTGGGTCTGTTTCATACATTTAGAACTTTTAAGCCCTCCTTCATCAGAAAAAATTTCCGAAAAAAAAGAAATCAAAGTAGGATCTCATGTTCGAATAAAATCTCAAGTATCTATCCCAAAATATCAATGGGGGTTAGTAAGTCGAGGAAGCATCGGTATTATTACTGCAATCAACGGAGATGATGTAACTGTTGATTTTCCACAACAATCGAATTGGACCGGATCTTTAAGTGAAATGGAGTTACTTTCAAATGATTGCGAAGCTATGTCCACAACATCGAATTTCGGCCAAAATGGCTCGGTTGATCTTGTAGAAGATTGGTCACGCTGTATTAAATCTTTAACAGTATCGTCCAATGAAAATCAAGCTAAACATTTATTGGATAGATCTTCAAATTATTGGCAAAGTAATAGTTCATCTTCAGGTCAAAGTAAGCACTGGATACGACTCGAAATTCATGACAATATTTTAATTCATAGCTTATCTGTTACTGTAAGCCCCTCAGATTGCTCGCATATGCCATCTCTGATTGTAACTAAAGTTGGAGATAATATAAATTCTCTAAAGGAATTTAGTTGGGTATCAATTAAACCAACTGATACCAATGTTATGTTATTAAGTGACATACGGCAATTTTATCCTTGGATAGAAATTTTAATTAAGCAATGCAGGAACAATGGTATTCAATGTAAAGTTCACAGAATAAATATAGTTGGAAAAAGAAAACAAACTGATTTAGATTTAATGCTCATGGATGCCGCTTTTTTGGCTTGCGAGTATGACACAATTTGCGAACCAACATGCTCAACATCGTGCACTTATCCTGAAGATAAACAACTACAAGATCAATCAATGTGCACTGTTATGGTATGGGGTTTAAATGATAAGGAGCAGCTGGGTGGTCTTAAAGGTTCTAAAGTGAAAGTACCAACTTTTTCGCAACGTTTGAGTCAACTACGACCAATTCATATTGCGGGAGGCTCAAAATCTTTATTTATTGTCTCTGAAGATGGAAAGGTATACGCTTGCGGAGAAGGAACAAATGGACGTTTAGGTCTTGGTCACAATTGTAATGTTTCAGTTCCGAAGCAGATACCTGTTTTGCATCAGTACGTTGTCAAAAAAGTAGCAGTCCATTCTGGAGGAAAACATGCTTTAGCTTTAACGTTAGATGGAAAAGTTTTTTCCTGGGGAGAAGGAGAAGATGGTAAACTTGGTCATGGGAATCGTTTAACACTCGATAAGCCCAAATTAATAGAAACTCTTCGATCGAAAAAAATTCGTGATATAGCGTGCGGCTCTTCTCACAGCGCTGCCTTAACGTCATCTGGTGAGCTTTATACATGGGGTTTGGGGGAATATGGAAGGTTAGGACACGGTGATAACTGTACTCAACTTAAACCAAAATTGGTTGTGTCTTTAATGGGGAAAAGAGTTATTCAAGTAGCTTGTGGAAGTCGAGATGCTCAAACTCTGGCTCTTACTGAAGATTCAACTGTCTACTCTTGGGGTGATGGAGATTTTGGCAAGTATTTTAAATTTACGTTAATAATAATAGGCCTTAAAATTTTTTTATTCAAAATTAAACAAAATTTTTGAAATAACCATGTGACATATATATATACGTACATTTTCAATTTAGGTAAACTAGGACGAGGGGGATCTGAAGGGTCATCAGTACCACATGAGATAGAACGTTTAACAGGTATAGGTGTAATTCAAATAGAATGTGGTGCACAATTTAGTCTAGCACTTACTAAAAGTGGAGAAGTGTGGACTTGGGGAAAGGGTGATTATTATAGACTAGGTCATGGATCTGATCAACATGTTCGGAAACCTGCACCAATACAAGGATTAAGAGGAAAAAAAGTAATACATGTTGCGGTAGGAGCTCTTCATTGCCTCGCTGTTACAGATAATGGTTTAGTTTATGCTTGGGGAGACAATGACCATGGGCAACAAGGCTCAGGCAATACAATTGTTAATAAAAAACCAGCCTTAGTGATAGGATTAGATTCTGTATTTGTCAACAGAGTAGCATGTGGAAGTTCACATTCAGTAGCTTGGGGTTTACCTCAATCGCAAAATGAAGACGATAAAAAAGGTCCGGTACCATTTGCTACCACGAAGGATCCCTTGGGGGGAAACAGTTTAGGGATTTATGATGCAGAGCAACAGTATTCAACAAGTAAAAAAACGTGTTCAAAAGTAGGTTTAAGCGAAATTCTACTGTCGCTAGAAACGAATGGAGCTCGACAAACCGCATTAAGGTAAAAAAATTTATAGTGTGAATTTATATTTACATACATGCATATATGTACTTCTAAATATTTCTTTATATTTTTAAATTATTCTTCGTTATTAAAAGAAAGCTTAAGTAACTTTTTTATTTAAGTTTAAAACTTAAGTTGCTTTTATATTCATTATTTATGTTATTTATGTATGTGTAGAATATGCAGAAAAAATTTTGAATCTTATAATCTTAAACAAATTCTATATGATAAATTCTTTTATATAACTAACCTAAATTCATTTACAACTTTATATTTAATTTATGAAGCTATGTTTTAAACGCGATGAGTATTTTGCAAGCTCGCCAATTAGTAATATCAGCTTTGACTAGCCATAGTCAAATTTCAACTAGTGAGAAAACCATTAATGGCGATTTCGAATCTCAAGAGAACTCAAAGGAATCGGAAAAAATAACTTCGGCGACACAAAATAATGGAGCCACTAATGAAATTATTGCACAAGGTGGAGGTGAAGGTCCAGCCGATGCCACTGATCCAGTTTTACATGAACCATCACCAGAAGCTGAAATAGTTTCGTCTGCTCCAGCTGGTCCACTTAGCGCATTTCAAAGTCTGACAGGATCATTGTCTCTCTCCGCTTCTATATCTTCAAATGCAGCGGCTGTTGTATCTCAAAAGCATTCAAAGATGTCAGCTAGTGCCATGTCTGTGATGGCTGCTACAATGACTCATCATGATGAAATGATAGCTGAATGTAGTATCACTGGACTTGATGACTTCACTTCTTTATTAGGTGAAACTGAGGCTAAAAGTTTAGTAGAATTATTAAAATTAAGTGTGGCTGGGAGAACTGGACCTCAACAAACTTCGCGGACAATAGCTGAAACTTTAACTGCCTTAGGTTCAAATTCTCCTTGTATTGGTGATATGCTTATAGAAACGTGCATTACTGAGTTGGAAGATTTATGCACATCTCGTTATTGTTTAGGAAAAATACCAAAACCTGTAGTACAGGAGACTAGCCACCCATACGTAGATAATATTACATTGGTTGGTCATGTAAAAATTCCAGGAGCTGAAGCATTAAGATTGGAGTTTGACAGCCAGTGCTCAACCGAAAAACGTAACGATCCTTTAGTTATAATGGATGGGTCAGGCCATGTTATAGCTACACGATCAGGTAGAGAATCACAGCACTGGATGCCGGAAATCCGCATTCCGGGTGAAGAAATGAGATGGAAGTTTACAAGTGATGGATCTGTCAACGGTTGGGGTTGGAGATTTTGGGTACATGCTATCATGCCACCATCTTTCTTACAGGAAACAGGCTCAGACAGGGCTGTTTTATCGCAGCCTTCAATATTATTAGTTATGGCATTACTTGATTCAAGGTTGAACATAACTAATCAAAAAGTTTTATTACGTTTAGCAACGGCCTTGTCTATTTGTGCACAACTAAACTCATTGACAACTTCTCAACGAATATGGGCGTTAAAAAAGCTTCACACAACAATGACATCAAAGTATTCCCCTAAGCCTCTAGATCCTTTATTGAATAATATTCTCATGCCACTAATACCAGAACTGCTTCGTCAATACGAATATGAAGAACCTCAGGTTCGAGGAGGAATTCACTTGATGCATTCTGAATATTTTAAAACTCTAGCAGCTTTAGCATGTGATATGCAGTTGGACTCTGTATTACCTCCCAGTGAGATGCATAAATGGTCATGGTTCCGCAGATATTGCTCAGCTGTAAGGGTAGCTCAATCATTTGTTAAACGTACAGAACTGCCGCGCTCATTCTGTATGGAAGTTAGAAAAAAATTGACTGAAATGATGCCCTCGAACAACAGTAACTATAATTCCTCCAACATTATTCAAGTAAGTCAAAGCGATTCTTCTTTGATGGTGAATTCAATTACGTCAATGTCTTCAAGTACAACAAGTAACCCAACACCTCCTCCTCCCCCTCTACAACTACAGTCACATCTTCACTTACACCAGCAAAGCAATGCATTAACTCCCGTTTCAAATGGTTTAGTACAATATATTGACATAACTACACCATTTTCGACACAAGAGTCTTTAGGAAATGCAAGTGTAGATAAAACTAGCATTGAGTTTGCCCAAATTTTGCACGAGGATCACACTCTTTTTAAAAGAGAACATGACAGTCAATTATTACAATGGCTAAACCGCCGCCCAGAAGATTGGGCTTTGTCTTGGGGTGGAGCAAGCACAATATATGGTTGGGGACATAATCATAGAGGACAATTAGGTGGATTAGAAGGAAGCCGTATTAAAACGCCCACGCCTTGCGAGGCGTTAAGTTTATTACATCCAATACAGCTAGCAGGGGGGGAACAAACTTTATACGCTGTAACTACTGATGGTAAATTGTATGCAACAGGGTATGGTGCTGGAGGTCGTTTGGGAATCGGTAGCTCCGATACTATTGGTACGCCAACTCTAATCGAATCCTTACAACACGTTTTTGTAAAAAAAGTAGCAGTAAATTCCGGAGGGAAACACTGTCTCGCTTTAACCGCCGATGGAGAAGTATATTCTTGGGGTGAAGGGGAAGATGGAAAGTTGGGACATGGAAATAGAGTAGATTGCGATCGTCCAAAACTTATAGAGGCACTTAGTGGTATAGGAATAGTTGACATTGCATGTGGAAGCGCTCACTCAGCTTGTATAACGTCTTCCGGTCATGTGCTCACATGGGGTAAAGGCAGGTATGGAAGATTAGGTCACGGTGATAGTGAAGATCAACTACGTCCAAAGTTAGTTGAAGCTCTTTTGGGATATAGGGCTGTTGATATTGCATGCGGTTCAGGAGATGCTCAAACCCTGTGTATTACTGATGATGATGTAAGAAAAATCATATTTCATTGAATTTTTATTATATATTTTAATATATTTTATCTTACATATTAACATTATCTCGCAGAATGTTTGGAGTTGGGGAGATGGTGATTATGGCAAATTGGGACGCGGTGGTTCTGATGGATGCAAAATTCCAATGAAAATTGAAAGCCTTTCTGGTCTTGGTGTAATAAAAGTAGAATGTGGATCTCAATTTTCTGTTGCTTTAACAAGATCAGGAGCAGTGTACACTTGGGGTAAAGGAGATTATCATCGCCTTGGTCATGGCTCTGTTGATCATGTCCGAAGACCAAAAAAAGTTGCTGCACTTCAAGGGAAAAAAATAATATCAATAGCGACTGGATCTCTTCATTGTGTGGCTTGCAGTGATAATGGCGAAGTTTATACATGGGGCGACAATGATGAAGGTAAAATATCAATTCAATATCTGATATAACGTTTACCAAACAGTCTGTAAAATTAAGTTTTTAATTCTTCCAACAGGACAATTAGGTGATGGGACAATAAGTGCAATTCAACGGCCAAGACTGGTAAATTCCTTGCAAGGTAAACACATAGTAAAAGTAACTTGTGGTTCGGCGCATACACTTGCATTATCGACATCACAATTAACAGAAGGGGCTCGTCCTCCACCCAGTCCACCTCTAGAATATGATTTAGTTAGAGATTTCCCTCCAGAAACTCTTCACGCAAGGCTTGTTTTGCTTCATCACTTTTCTGAATTATTGTGTCCTTGCTTTACAATGCTGCCTATATCTGGAGAATTAAGTTTAGAATCGTTGAAAGATATATTAGTTTATAGTATTAAAGAAACAGCATTCCGAAAGGTTATTCAAACAACAATGGTAAGGGATAAGCAACATGGGCCAGTAATTGAATTAAATCGTATTCAAGTGAAACGTTCTCGAAATAAATCAGGAAATGGTTTGGCTGGGGTAGATGGTATGAAAAGCGTTTTTGGTCAAATGGTTCAAAAATTACCACTACTCACACAAGAAGCTCTTTCGCTGCCACATCGTGTCTGGAAAGTTAAGTTCGTAGGTGAGAGCGTTGATGACTGTGGAGGAGGGTATAGTGAATCTATTGCCGAAATGTGTGATGAACTACAAAATGGTAGCGTTCCTTTACTAATTAACACACCAAATGGTCGAGGGGAGGCCGGGGCAAATAGGGATTGCTTTCTTCTAGATCCTACACTTAATTCCGTACTGCAAATGAACATGTTTAGATTCTTAGGAGTATTGATGGGAATTGCTGTTAGAACTGGATCTCCATTAAGTCTAAAGTAATTTACAATTATTTTCTAATTTTTCTAAAAATATTAATAATACATTTTAAAATTATATAATCATACTACAGTTTGGCTGAGCCTGTTTGGAGACAATTAGCAGGAGAGAGCTTACGCCCAAGTGATCTTACTGAAGTTGACAGAGATTATATAGCTGGTTTACTTTGTATTAGAGATATGGAAGATGATAGAAAAGTTTTTAATACCTTAGAGCTTCCATTCTCAACATCATCAGCCAAAGGGCACGAGGTTCCCCTTTCAACACGTTTTAGTCGAATTACACAACAAAATCGTCAGGAATATGTACGTTTAGCTTTGAATTATCGCTTACATGAATTCGATGAGCAAGTCAAAGCAGTCAGGGACGGAATGTCTAAAGTTGTTCCAGTTCCTTTATTATCTCTATTTTCAGCCTCAGAATTGCAAGCAATGGTATGTGGGTCACCGGACATACCTCTGGGTTTGCTGAAATCTGTTGCCACATACAAAGGAGTTGATCCGTCTTCTCCATTAGTTCTATGGTTTTGGGAAGTAATGGAAGAATTTTCTAATCAAGAAAGATCATTATTTTTAAGATTTGTTTGGGGAAGAACTAGACTGCCAAGAACCATTCAAGATTTTCGAGGAAGGGATTTTGTCTTGCAAGTCTTAGATAAATACAGCCCTGCAGATCACTTTTTACCAGAAAGTTATACCTGCTTCTTTTTATTAAAGATGCCGCGTTATTCATGCAAAGTAACTTTAACCTTTAATGCGATTTTTTTTTATATTTAGTTTTATGTATAAAATTTTTAATTAAAAATTTTCAGGCGGTACTTATGGAAAAATTGAAGTATGCTATTCACTTTTGTAAAAGCATTGATACAGACGATTATGCTCGAGTTGCTATGGGTGATCCAACTGAAGCGACTGGAAGCGAAGATAATAGTGATTTGGAATCAGTAGCCAGCCATGACGCTTAATATGGATATTATTACTTTTAAAGATAGAAATACAACATATTATGTACTTTTACATAAATTTCTAGGTAGAGCATATCATATTTGTTATATATCATAGATATAATTTTTGTAACACATCCTTTATAAATAATTTTAGGCCATAAAAACTCTGCGTGGAGCTTTAAATGTTACTACCATAATATTTGGAATTATTAAACGCATACTCTCAATATAATATTAACAGAAAATGTAAAAAAATTTTAAATGTTCAATTAAAAATTAATTCACCATTCTCAAAATAAAAAAATTATTGTAAGTTTTAATATAATATTAATTCATTATTAAACTCGGCTTCGTGCTGTTCAATTATTTTGTAAATTTTTGAATTATTTTAAACTGATATAAGTAATATATTATACCTATGTATGTAAGTTATTTTTAATTAAATATTTATTTTCAAAAAGCAAGCTTTTAATTTTCATTTAAATTTTGCACATTCATTCCAAGTGTTTATCCTATTAAGTATAGTTAATAAAAAAAAAAAAAGTGTTATAAGCCGAGCTAAATATTTATTAAAAATATATATGCTTCGATTTTATAATGCAATTGCCACTCTAAAATTTATAATTGTGTTATTGTTATAAATTTCCTTTTATAAAAATAAATGTGTTAAGAATTTCATTAAAAATTTTTTTGTCTTATATAATTTATGTATTTGTGGCTAGGAAAACAACATGTTCTTCTTTCCTTCCGTAAAACTTATGAATGAAACTTTACCGAAATTTTTCTTTCTAAATTTTTGATACCAATATTGTTTTGAATTAAGAGAAGGAGAGTAGAGTAGAGTGGAGGGGGGGGGGGTTGGGGTTCCATATGAGATTATTAAAAAGAAATTAAGAATTTTAAAACTTAAAAACTGTAATTGTATAAAAAATATATTCTAAGAATTTTTAATAGAATTCATACTTTTTTAAACTATGGCTTGAAATTTTTATTCAAACTATTATACAAGAATGCAAAAATTTTATTAAATATTATTATCAAGAATGCACAAAATTGAATTTCGATTGAATTTTATAAGAAATTAGAATATAAAATATATTTGTATTATTTATATTTTACTATTTTAAAACAGTTTGCGGGGTGAATTTTCCGAAGGGAGTTGAAGTCTCGGAATTATCCTTAATTTATTAGATTACTACATAGTATAAATAATCACTTGTTTTTAATTATATATTGGTATTCGAAATGGTATATTGCTATTTATATAAAAAATTTCTAAATAATATAAAATTTTATACGTGCTTACCAATAAAAATCCAATACAGTCGCAATTTAAATATTAAATTATTTAATAAATTTCCATTCTGTCACTAAAAAATTGAAATATAAAATAAAGTAAAATTAATTTAAAATAAAAAGAAAAAATAATAATAAAACTTAAATTTTATTACATTTTATATATATATATATATATTTTTTTAATTTTTAAAATACATAATAATTATATAAACAAATTTATTTCTTAATTATTTCAATAATTTTAAAATTTATATAATATAATAGTGTTATATAACAAATCATCATCATCATTTTTTTAAACATTAAAATTATGAATGTATATTTTTAATTTTTCTTTTTTTTTTTTTTTATTTAACTTAACAAAATTAAAAATTACTTTAACATTAACAAGATTTCGATTTAATTTTTTTTTTTTTCTTTTTCTTTTGAAATCTTGATCTCAACTTAAAAACAACATATTTATCAACTTTTCGGAGTTTTAACTTTGTCCATTTTTAAATAATTATAAAAAAAAAAAAATCAAATTAAATTAAATTAAATAAAAAAACGTAACATATTTTATAAGAGTATCAACATGACTGTGAAAAGAATAATTAATTAAACACTTAAAAAAAAAATTAAAATTCTTTGGTTAAAGTCATTTAAACTCAAATTGTTACGAAGGCACCTGTTTAAATCTTTTTGTTTTTATTTCTTTTTGAATAATTATTATTTTTTTTTGTTTTTGTTTTTTATATACCTAAGTATTTTAACATTAAAGTTTAATAACATTTTTCAAAGTATTTTCAAGCTAATAGATTAATGAATAATAAAAAAAAATTATGCTAAAAACGAAACCATCATTTTATACAGCTTCAAATTTAAAAAATAATAATAATAAAAATAATAATAAAAATGATAATAATAATAATAATATAAATAACAATAAAAGAGATCTGGCATAGTAACATTTATAGTAAAAAAAAACAAAAAAAAAACAAATCAATTATGAATTGCAATTTACACATCGAAAACGATATTTTAAGCTTATTTTATTTTGAAAATTAAATATAAAAATTAATTTTCAAATTGATTTTCTTTTTTTTTTTACTTTTTTCTATTCTAATTTATTTAAAATATAAAATTTTATAATATATATATATATATATTAAGCATTTCTGATATTTTTAACTTAACCATATATACCAAGTTTTATTTAAGATAAAACTTTAAATTTTTTCTTTAATTAATTTTTATGTTTTATTTTATTAATAAATTTCTTTATTAAAATAAAAATTATTATTATTTACTTATCTGAAGAAGAAGAAAACACGTACTAATGCCATATAAAAAAAACCCAGCGCTTTAACTAAAAACAAAAAAATAAAAATCAAAATTTAAAATCAAATTTGAAATTAAAAAATAATTTGGCACGTTAATTATCACTTTTATTTCTATAATAAAATTAATTTTAAAATAAAAATCTAAAATAAGAAGAATTTTATCCCTTTTGTATATTATTATCTGTTATTGTAAGGTTCCACAAAAAGTAAATATATAAACATTTTTGTTCCACTTTAAAATTCTTGTAAAATTAATATTGAAATTTTAAAATTATAAAATAATTTGAAAAAATTATAATATTACAATAAAAGTAATCATTTCAATAAAAAGACAATTAATTTCTAATTAAATTTTAATTTTTAAGAGGATCTTCCAAACCTAATTAATGCACATTGAAGAAAACTTATATTTGTTTTTTTTTTTTTTTTTTTCAAAATATTACCAAATACATAAAAAAACTTGTTGATTAGTAATATAATGCAAGATAATAATAAAATTATATGATTACAATTTTCTAATTTGCAAATTATTCAGAAAATTTTTTATATACAATAACAGGTAATAAAAATTATTTTCATAATTTTAATCAATTTTCATCAAAGCAATCAAATAGTACAATAAATAATTAATGGTTTTCATATATGGTATATAAATTTAAAATATTTTAAGAGAAAAAAAAATATATATATTACAATTAAATGAAAATAAAAAAACATAAAATTTACACTTCATATTATAACAAATTTTTTGAATTTCCATTTTCTATATAATATATATATATATATATAATATTGTGTATATTTTTCAATTAATAAAAAAATTAATTATATTATATTAAATTTATATTCTAAACTCAACGAGTTTAACAAACTAATTTTTTATGAAATTATTATTTAAAAAAAAAAGAAAAAGATTTACAATCAGAAATATCGACATATTAAAAATTTTATTTATGTTTCTTAAGAAAATAATATAATATCTAATTTATAAATATTATTAAAGGCGCATGTACATATGTGTTAATATTTATTATATATTAAATGGTGTGTGCTATAAAAAATTTTAATAACATCATTTTAAATAGAGGTAATTACAATCGGCAAAAAAAAAAAAACAAAAAAAAAAAAAACAGTTTTCCCTGGCTTCCATATTGCAGTTGTAATTTAATATATTTAAAATTCTGATTTAGCTAAAGTATAAATTTTTGAATTTTGTTTGAATATTTATATTATATTTCTGATTTTAATTTGAAAACTATGTACTACATTATAGAATTCAGGGTTCATTACATAAAGTAGTATAGATTTTGTTGGATCAATTATTACAATTTAATATTTTTTTGTTTCAATATTTTTTTTCAATATTACAAAGGAAAATTATGTATGTATATAATATTATATAATATATATATTTTTTTTTCCTAATTAATGAGAATATAAATCTTATTATGTATATATTTTAATATGTACATATCAATTTAGAAAATGTTTTTATTCAAGATGCATTTTAAGATAGTATATATATATTTTTACAAACATACATGTACCTATATACATACATATTATTGTTATATTACTAGTAATATAATAATATATTATGTAATTAATATACAATGTAATATATTTTATATTATATGATATATGTAAATATAACATTATTAGAATTTTATATTCAATATAAAGCTTACATATCGTCATAATAATTATTATATTATGTATTATATTTAGATAGCATTATTACAGCACTGCGTTGTTTGTACTTTTTGAATCCATTATAATTGAAGATAAAATCTAATTTTCAAAAAAAAAAGAATTTTTTTGATGACATTTATTCTAAAATTTTATTATTTTTAATATACAAATGTCATTTCACGGCGGTTTTTTTTTTTATATTTTTTTAATTTTTTTCTTTTTTTCTTTTTTTTTTTGAATAATTAAAGCTTCAAGCTTCAATAAATTTTGCAATAGATAGCCATCACAATAATGGTTGTAAAATTTATCAAAAACGAGTTGAAAAATATTTTATTACATAACAAATTTTTATGGTTAAGTTTAAATAATTTAACAAACTGAAACTTAAGTTCCTTAAAATATCTATTCTCAAGATAAAAATTTTTGAAATTTTTTTTTTTTTTTGTTTTTAGATTAATAGTTCTGATAATATATTAATATTGTCTTTAAATTAGTATTGGACCTAACTATTTATAATATATAAGAATTTGCATTTTAATAGATTTTAATAACAAGTAGGATGTAATTCTAATACGTAAAACAATCACACTTTGGTTTATGTTTATATTTAATTATATATATATAATTATAAACTTTCATTCAGTTTCCAATTAAATTGATTAAAAATAATATAATTAACATAATTCAATTCGTTGATTTATAATATATAAATAATAAAATAAAATGATTTGATTAATAGATTTTTAACTAATAATTAACATTAGTATATAACTAGTATATATTATATTCCTATATATATAATTACATACACATATACGGCATATTTTAAATGTATAGACATAGAAAATTCAATGAATGGTATTTAAAACTATTGAATGAAATTACGTTAATCTTTTATATTTTATTACAATGACTTAGCTTGATCAAGATATTGTTAGAACTTAGCATATTATTATCTAAAAAATAAAGAGAAAGCACTTTCCAATAAGCTAAGGATTAATTCAAATTTTTCAATTCTTAAAAATATTTTATTTAGAAAACATAACAAAAGAAAAAAAATTTTAAAAATAAGCACAATTTTTGCCTACAAATGTTTGAAATACCACTCACCGAATACCTATATAAATTGCTTTCTAAATCAACAATTTCCTTTTTTAATTATTTTTTATAAACTGTGCGATTAATTTTATTATAAATAATTTCCACTATGTATACATATAACAAAATGAAAAAGTTATAAATTTTCATTTAGCATTGTTATCTTAAAGAAGCTGTCTTACGTTTAATTTGTTTTATTTTAGCACGTAAACGTGAAGATCTCATTTTTTTTGGAAGTGGTGGACCTGATGTTGTAGGTGTTACTACATTTATCAGTGAGATAGGAGTTGCTGAAAATGTTATATGACTATAATTCCCTTGGGTATTGTAACCTTCGTCAACACTATTTGTGGATAAAATGTTTTTACCATTCATATGCGGGATATTTTCTAAATAAGGTCCACGTTCTTCAATGAATTCAATGGCTGGACGTTTTAAATTACCATTGGATATTGTTGATTGGGAATAAATAGATGAAAGGGACAGAAGAGCATCAACTCCTTCTACACGACGTTGATGTTCTAACTCATCCGGTGTAAGATTATGACTGAAATAGAAAAAAATGCTTTTTTAATTTATCAAATTTTTCATGTTAAAAAATTTTATTTAAAATTTACCTTTCATCGCTACTCTCATATGCTGCATCCGATGAGGCACATGTACTTATATTGTCACTTCCGTTTTTAATTCCGATATCGAAACTTATACTATTACTGCAATTGCCATTATTTACTTCATTTGGGCTGTTACTATTGCCAGCAGAATATGTATGATCCGCGCTTGGTGAATTTGTAATTACTGGAGTTCTGTTAAAGAAAAATTTCATATTAAATGTGAAAAAAAAATTCAATATTAAAAATGAAAATTTAACAACTAATACATATTACAGTAGATATTAAATACACCAAAAAAATATTAAAAAAAATATAACAGCAACAAAAATTACCCATTACTAAAATTATCAGCATTAAAAATTTTTGAACCATGCTTCAAAGCAAGCATCGCAGTCGCCGCATTTACGTCATCTATGCTGTCAGCTCCACAGTCTCTAGCTAATTTCTCCATATTGTCATAATTTGGGGTTGAGTTTCCCTTTTGAGGGAAAAATCCATCCACACTACTATTGTTGCTACTAACATTGTGACTGTAAGATGACAAATCTGATTGATACTCACTTTGTTCCAATGACTCAACCTCAATTCCATTTTCAGGAAAAGTTGAATTAATTTCATTTTGGACATTTCCCATTTCCTTCATTAATTTAGATAACTTTGGGAAAAGTTTAGCATCAAGGTTAGATTTTACTGGGGTTGTTGGTGGACTTTCTAAATCATTCATATTATATGATTCATTGGTTACTTCCTTTTCATTTATTGAATTTTTGTAATTTGACAATTTATCTACGGCTGGGCATGGGTAAAATGGAGATCGAGTTAGAGCTTGAATTAAGTTTGGCCTTTGATGTTGCTCTACACGCCAAAGAGATCCCTTTCCCATGTTCTAAAAAAGAATTTTTTATATGTATAAAAATTTATATTTTTCTTTTGCAAAATATTTACTGGTGCTTTTTCAACTTTTAAAAAACTTTTATTTAAAGATAAGTTGTGCCGAACACTATTTTTCCAGCCTGTTGGCGCTGTCTTAAAGTATGGAAAGTGTTGTACAATCCAAGCATAAATTTCTTTGACAGGTAGAGCTTTTTCTGATGAATCTTCAATTGCCATAAATATTAAAGAACTAAAATAAAAAATATATAATTTTCAAACAGAAAAAAAATTATTTTTATTTTACCTGAAACTGTATGGAGGCTTTGCATTAGCATGGGTCTTGGGATCATATGGTATGTTATTTGGATGTTTTTGCTTTGGGCTTTGCAGGGGTATAGTTAAAGAATTTAATGCTTGTTCCTTGGTCGAAATGGTTGAGTTTTTATTAGAAACTACTATGTTACTTCTTTTGCTTATATCCTTAGCAGATTCCGTGTCATATTCCTTGTATATAATTTGGGTCGAACAAGGTGTCCCTAAATTCTCAGAAAAAACTGTATTGGTATAATCGCTGCTAGGAAGGACAAATTCTTTATGTGAAGAATTGTTGGTGCTATTTGTGGGAACTTTGTTGATTATTGAGATATTTTTCCTATCACCCGAATAGTTTACAACATCTGAAGCACAAACAGCTGATAATTTAGTTGTTTCATTAATGCTTTCGATGCCGGTATTGCATCGTGATTCTACATTATTGTTCTGCTGATAACTTAAACTAGGCTGGCTAATATTACTTGTTATTTTACTTTGTTCACGGCCGCTCATCTGCTCCCGCAGATATTTTTTGTGGGGATGATGGGTTGTCGATTGTGAAATTGTCTGTGGTTGATTTACAACATTATTGCATGCATTTTGCTTATTCGAAGATTCTGTAAGTGATTGTAAAGCATTCGGAGACACATTAGAAGTCACGACTTGGTTATTTTGTTGCAAAGTATTATTTGAAACTAATTGATTCTTTATAGGATTTACAGCATTTTGGCTATAATTTGATATATTCGAAGGATGTATTTCATTTGAATACGGCTTGGAATTTGATGATATATAGTTTGCCTTGTTCTTGTATTCAACAACAGTAGTGGTACCACTTGGACCTACATGTACGGTGGTTGTTGTCCCAACATTTGATAAATTATTAGTAATGCGTTCAGGAATCATAGATGCTGATGTTGTTATAAAAGAAGAAGACACTGGTGCTAATATTTGGCTTTTATTGGTGCGACCACCAATATTATTTGAAAATTGTGACGAAATAAAAGCATGATTTTGTGGGGTCACTTGTACTTGACGAGGATTTGGCGAAAAGCCCAGATGTTGATGTTGCATAATCGATTTATTATTCGATTGTGATGTTATAACTTTTTGATATGAAGATTCATTGTTTAAAATATTTGAATTTGTTTGGAGCTGTTTTGACGAATCTAGATTAAGTTCTGCACCTGTTTCATTATGAACAACCGTTTCCTCGACGAGTTCCGTTGACGGCGATATACTTCGATTTGATAATTTGGTAGGGGACTGAATGTTGTGCACATTTCTATTAGAATTGTTACGAGACACAATACCTTTTATTAGGTTTTTATCTTGCAGCCAAGTCAATGAGGTCAAATCTTCATCTCCATTTGTTATCAAATTAGGTCTCGTTTGAATAACAGATCCGTTTGCAGTGTGCAAAATAGAGCCCGATAAGTTGTCAGCATTATTTAGATCCATCGGTTCAGTAGCAACTATATATTTTTATTCAAATTAAATTAAATATTTTGATTATAATTAAGAACTTACAAACAAGAAACTGTGATAATTTTCATACCTATTACAATGTTCCCCACGCTATTTGGTGACGCAGAACTGGTTGTAATGAACGCTTCATTAGATGCATAATGTACATTGCCATTTTGCTGAAAGAAAACAAATTTTGATTGTGATTGTGGTGATGAAGTACTTCCCACAATTTTAGAAATTGAATGCTGTTGATTAGATGTAGATTGCGAGATAGAATGATTTGATTGCAAGCTAGAATGCATCGCCGTTACTTGTGAAACGTTCTGTGTAGTGGACATACTACTTGGTTGACTTAGTCCAGTTGCAATTATTTTTTGAGGATTTCTACTGAATTGAGAGAAATTAGTTACAATATTTCCATTAGTCAATTGTTGTTGTTGTTGTAACGTATGTTGTGAATTTGTTATTGCTGTTAAACGAGATCCTACAGTTGACTGTTGAACTACAATCTTACTTTGATCTAAGGGCATTGCTGATAGAACCATACTTTTATTATATTCCGAAATTTTAGATAACTTAGTAGTTCCCTTTGTAGCCGTATTAATAGCATTTGAAATTTTAACTCCTTGTTCTAGTGACATTCTAAATAAAAAAAAAAATAAATTCTTGAATTAATTACCTTTAAAATACATACGCAAATAAATTCATACAAAATTTGTACTTATAATAAAGTGTACTCCTAAACACTTTACATGGTGAGCAGATAAATGTTTATATTAAAATATGTATATACAATGTGTACACTTAAATAAAGCTTAATTTTGATCTGATACTAATTATTTAGTGCGATATTAATTAATACTAAATCTTATGTTCATACATATATTTATATATAACTACTATCTCTAAACTTAATCTAAACATTACATATTTAATACCAAATTTAGGACAATTAAATTTTAAGTATGTACCTTCATATGTGTACACACAATTTACCGAAGTTACTTAACAAAGACCCTTTTTGTGCAATCCTCTTTGTTTTTAAAATCGCTACGGGAAAAATAAAATTGTATATGACGTACATTTTTACATTTGTGTATATTTTACGGGAACTTTAGCAGAAATTTGAATTGACATAAAAAATAAATTTACAATATCTACCAATGTTCCATATTTATTAGATCTATTAACTTTTACAGCTACAAAATACCAAACTACGACTTAATTGGTTCTTTAAGTGTGACACTTGATTAAATTGTAGGTATGTGGATGTGTACAAATCTAGATCAAATTGTAGAAAATATTTTTAATATTACTTTATATTGAATTTCGTAGCTCCTTTTAAATGTAACATTATGTTTGAATAATTGTATATAGTATATATGTGTTTATGTATGTGTGTGTATAATATGTTGACTAGGTATATACTTTTGTTTAATTAAATAAGCCTTACTTATGTTATATAAAAGAAAAATCACGTGTATCAAAAAATATTTTTTTTTTTCGAAAAAAAAAATTAAGCTTTTTTAAAATTTCAGCTGACTCTTGATTTTGAAATAAAAATATAAAAAATATTTTGCACACATACACATTTTCTCTACAAATGAATGTAATATATTTTGTTATGCATGTGTTTGTGTAAATAAGAACCAATTCAACTTAAACATATTACAGTTGTTTGCATTGAAAAGAAAATACATTCACATAATTCTTTCAAATTTGTACATGATGAGTTGAAAAAAACACCTTCGACGCTTTTTCACTTCTGTAAATTTTTTGTATGGATTTATTTATTTGTGTTGAAATAAAATACTATGATTTTACGTTACGTTTTTGTTTACAATTCTTTCTATGTGTTTCATTGTCACTGCATTTCATTCTATATCAAATGTATTTATTAGTATATTGTAAACAAATGATATTCGTATGTACTTAAGTAAATTTTTCACTTGACTCTCTCATGAAAATAAAAATTTGAATGAGAAAAATTGAGCTTTGCTCATACACATTTGTACACATGCATATGCGTAATTAATTTTATGCGGTGAAAAAAAGATAAGTATGCATGTATTATAAGTTATTATTACAATTTATTTTGAACCCAAAGTAAGGCAAATTAAGGGCTGGACGTTAAGAGAGCAAATATTTTATAATAAACCATTTTATAATTTTTCTCATGTAAATTATAGAAGGCTGCTTGAAAATTTCATATTGTACCTAAAATACATGATTTTTTTTTAGAAACACTTTATTATCAACGTTATCACGATTCACTATCCCTTGCGAGTTGCGATGCACGATTACGTAAAAAAATATACATATGAATAAACTTCAAAAGAGAAAGAGAAAAACAACAAAATTTTCCGAAATTTATTGGAAAATGAGAGCGAAAAAAGAATTGTTTAGACCTTGATTTTTATTGTACTGTCATTGTATGTTGTTGAATTTCTACATATTTGTAAAGAACAAAAACTTATAAAGAATTTATTTTAATAAGAATTATTTTTACACAACTAGCAAATATAAATTATTTTGTATAGTTTATAAGTAAAAGTAAAATAATAATACAATTCGTGAGCAAAAAAGTTCACGTTTATTTTAATTGATATAAAACTGTTAGTTTAACCTATTTAAACGAAAAATCTGTTGTTTATTTTACTGTATATCGTATTTTTGCTACCTAAATTAATTGCCCAAATCACTTTACATTTCTTTACAACAAATGCAAGAGAATGCATTTAGATAAGTTTCAATGTATGTGCGTAACTGAATGCAATTATTCTCTTTCTCGTGTGCGTGCCATGCAAAACAACATAAATACGTACATACATACTTATGTACATAAGCCTTAACGTGTTTATTTTTATATTGTATCTACTTACATATGGATATGTATGCCGTTTTGTTTCATTTATGCATACTTAAACATTTTGTACATACACATTCACATAATATTCTATTCAGAGAAGTGAAATTTTCAAAATTTAATTTATTAAGAACATTATTTCCACATTATTTTTTCATTAATACCGTTTCAGGTAAGATCATCCAAGTTAAAAACGTTATAAAATATTCTCCTTGCATGCGTATATATTTTTAAACTATAAATTTGAAATAAGTATACCAATACATTTTTTTTATAAATTCCTCAGTATAAGTTTGTGTGCAAAATTTTAAATGCCATAACGGCAATGGGAATAAATCAATTTTTGATATTTTTGCGAAATTCGTAAGCTTTTGCACATTATTATTATTTAGTAATTTTTTTTTGCTAATTGATAACTTGAAAAAAATGGTAGATACGCAAATAAATATTATAACTTAAAAAAGTGCAACTTCCAAAATTTGAGTACTCCAAAATTTAACCTAAAATATTGAAGATATTATTGGTTCACATTAGTGGTTCAACACTGAAAAAGTGATAGGTGATTACACTATTAGTTTTAGTATATTGGAAATCTGAAATAAACTATTTTAAAAATATAAATTGTCAATGTTTTGTTCGGGATGTTTACTGTCGAATTTATAATAGAAATTTAATTTTGCTAAAATGAATCAGACAACAATTTAATATCCTCACATTGTATACGTACGATTTGTATGTATGTATGATATATGTATGTTATATCATATATGATTTTAGAAAGTTTAAAATGAAAAAGCTTTCTTCAATTTACCACAGCTTGTGGAACTAGTAAGACGCATTTCTATTTTTTCCATTTGAAATCGAATTTGTGAAATCAAAATGTACATATGTATGTAAACATATACGTATATTTGCGGATGTGTGGGGTACATGCTTCTCTTTCGGCTCCTACAAAAATACATACATACATACATACACATAATTTTTAATTTTTATAATCAATTTTTTCCTTTTGATTTTTATTCGAAATTTGTTGTCTGACAAGTCACAGTTCGGTCTTAATTTGGTCGAGCTCTTGATAGTTATTTTTTAACATGGATATGATCTTATACATAGCTATGCATATACATACATACATATGTATATATTTTATATAAATAATCATACACAGTGTATGCACGTTTCAAAATTGCTAAATTTTTTTATTTAAACTTCGCAAATTTGTAAATTCAAAATTCATAGAGTGCTAATGTGTTTTTTCAACACATAACAAATTTAACATATGTATTATGTATTTATTGTATATATTTATATTTATTTATTATATATTGTATATACATACATATGTATATAGTACTAAATTTGATAAAAATATGAGTTCAAATGAATGTGTTTGTGTATGTTGGCGTCAAATCATTTTTGTTTTTCCCCTTTGAAAATAAAAATATAGGAAATGTAATATTTACCACATATTCATGACAAGTCAAAAAAAGTATGTAGTATGTACATACACATGTTGAGTTAAAGGTACATACATAATAATGTATATTGAAATTTTTTGTATTAAAAAACACTACATTCATGCATATAAAATCTAAAATGCACTTATTTATGTATCTGTTATCTATATTTAGCACCGAATATAATAAATTGTTTTTGCATTTCTATTGGTCGTTTCATATTGTTTTGTTAAATTGTTTTGTTTCGAGCTCCATACAACAGTCAACAACTCGTTGGTTTCAATCAGCACGTTGCGCATTCACTTTTTAGATGGCACACTTAAATTGTTTACGTATTTGTGAATTATTTTTCGCTTTGAAAGTTGCTTGTACTTTTTTTGTTCATTGATCAGAAGCAAAAAAATATGTTCTAATAAGATCGAAAGAAATTATACACATACATACATATATTCTCATTGTTAATAAAAAATTTCCATTTGTGTTTATGCGTCCATATTGTATTTATCGAATAAGTTTGCTTTTGAACTTATTTTTCTCTCTCTAACTGAGTACCGTACCGTTACCGTGCCTGAAAATAAATTTTCATGAAAGAGATAGCGCATAAAGTATTCAACACATTAAATTGTATAAAATTTCACTATTAATGTGAATTCACTTCTCTTTGTCCTATTAAGTCAAACTAATTTCCATGTACAAAATAAAAAATGAATTCGCATAATTTTATAATATGTTCCATTATTAACAGAATTTACGCGTATGAACAATAATAATAATCTTATAAAGTCTTATTAAAATACATACGTATGTACATAAAAATGTATAATCGCTAATAGAATATGAAACGTCGTCATATTACTGAAAGCTTGCTTTAAAAAAACGGCAATTCTGTTTAATATTAACGGATGTTTTCTTAATAATTCAGTTTAGAAATTTAAATAAAAACATTGTTATGTACATATTTCAAAGATTTTAAATTATAGTACAGCTAGATTTTAAATGGTACATCTGTAAATATGTATTGAATAATTTTTTCGTATATTTCCGCCAGATTATTCTCAAGAACACGTAATGAATTGTTCGTAAGCTGTAATCGTTGCTGGATTGTCGCCTTAATCTAAAAATTTGACTTATTAACAAAGAAAATAATCTAGAGGTGTTAGATTGCATTGATTTTGACGACGAATTTACAGCTCCAAAATTTAAAAGTAATTTTTCAATGAATTATTCTTACTTAAAATTTTAAATTATCAATAATTTCGAAGCTAGGGCAAGCATGATAAAAAGATTATTAAAAAAAAAGTATTAATACAAAATTT